CAGCAAATGCAGCTACTTAGAAAAGACTTAAGTAAAAAGTGAAATTACTAAAAAGAAATTTGGTTCTGTCCTGGCTCAAACCAGAACATGAAAGAACAAAAAAGAAAATAAGAGTGATAAATGTGCATCATAGGCATAGAATCTGTAGTGATCTTTGTCAGCAATGAAGACATTCCCTGATATCCTACTGAATAATAGCAAGTTCCAAGTTTCGAAGACCCTATGATGTCTGATGTTATATGGAACACAGAAAATAAATGCACAAAACATAAACAGCTCTACTTACTCATTACATATTTATTGCTTTCTTGTTAACCAACTCATGTTCTCATTAGAGAAATAGGTTAGAGAAATAATAATAATAGAGAAATAATAATTAGAGAAATATTCCACTTTGGCAAAGAGCTCCTGAACACCATTCTTAATTTTTAAAAGGAATATGGAATTAACCTCAAAATCTTTGACATTCTAGACTCCTCAGTAAATTAGTACAATTAGTCAGTTCTATACGTATAAAAATGCTTCTTGACTAAGCGAGCAAAGATATTAAACACTTTGTGTACAGGTTCAAGCAAATACTACTTTTCTTGAACTTAAAATCTATATGTACCAAGTTCTGAGAAGGTCAGCAAATTTTGTAGGAAAGATCACACAGACTTCCTCTTCTGTTTATGCTCTCTAAAGATATTCTGACAAAATATGATTAATTGCTGTTCTTTGACAATGTGAACAATTATGTCTAGCTCAGACATCCACATGCACTCATTTAATAATATTCTACAAATGTTTCTCTTGGGACACAAAATAACCCTGCAAATAACATTATTAATATGAAGAAAATAAAGCATGAGTCCTTGTCATTGTCACAAACCTTACAAAATTCACCCTAAGACACTGAAATGGGTTGAAAACCTCCATAAAACAGGCAAAAGTCTGCTCCAGCTTAAAGGGGCATCTGTAAACCTTTACCATTTAGAGGTTTTAAGCATTGCTCTTCAGATTTTTGGACAGAGGTTTGAAGACCTGCAGAAAACTCACAGGAGCTTACTACATTACTTACCTGAAAATAAGAAAGCGCTGAATTACAGTTTAAGATAATTCAACACCTGTAGGTTTCAGATATCTGAGAAGTTACAAGACACAATATTATCAAATTTTACTTCTCAAACGTCTGCCAGGATGAATTGATGTTAATCCAAGACCCTGTGCTTTTTTCTTTCCTCAACCCATTTCTTACTGCAGGAAAGGGAATCTTCAGACCCCACAGAATAAAACAGATTATAGAAGAACTAGAATTATAAATATCTTAATAGTATTTTTGACTACTTGCTTCTTTAGTCAGAAATACAGTGCAAGATACAGGAAGAGGAAACTAAGCTAAACTACAGACTTAACTTACTAATTAGCATGTTAAAGTTCATATGAATTCTAACTTGTTTTGAGAGCAATCACCCATAGCATATATATGTGGGAAAACACATATAATCATATAATAATATAAAATAAAATAAAGGTAATCGTAGTGTAAATGGTGGAACAAGGCCTGTCACATCACTAAGGAAATGCAGAATAGAAAAAGAACGGCAAGGACTTGGCTTTGGAGGAAAATGTCACAAGATAGGCACTTAGGCTACAGATTTTCAGAGTTTATTAAGGAAGGAAAATCCTGTAACTTAGAGAATAAAATTAAGACTTAAAAGTTTAAAGTATTATCTTGACTTTATTTATTTATTTTTTTTTCACAGGACAAACTATTAAGTGAGCAGGAAAGCCCTTAACGTTGCATGCGTTTCAGATTTTCATATAATCTTACACATTTTACATGAAAAAAACAAGCAGCTCTTGTTTCTACAATGGCTTTTCAGTAATTTTTTTCATTGGGATTATAATATTTTCATTAACTGACCCCTGCTTCATTGAGGGAAATAGAAGGATACAGTATTATAGTGTTACATACAAGATACTTAGAAGAACTCTAAAACAGTGGAATCCAAATGCAATTTTATTATTAAAAATATTTATTAATTGTATACCTAAGACATATTTTGCAAGCACTAAGAAAACAAAACGGTTTAGTGTTCTTACATAGATTTCCGGGTATTTTATGTGATTATTGAAGAAAAAAAATCCCCATTAGCTTTTTGATTTACCTTCTGCAAAAACAGCTTTTATATTTTAGCCCTGTAATTCTAGTCATCAGAAAGATAAATAACAGCATACTAGGTGTCAGAGGGGCTGAAATCTTACAAGGACTCAGGACAAACTGTGTGATGTACAGTATACAATCAATTATCAAGGAGTCTTGAGATACTTTTTCCATGAAAGTGGAAAACACAATGTATGCTGAGAACATCAGGTAGATTCAATCTAGAGTCAAGAAAAACAAAACCCAATACCAAACAGAAAACACCAAACCCACAAAACCTGTACTAAGGCAGTGCAGTTCAGTATTAGAATCAGCAAGAAGAGACAGCAGGATGTTAACCAGCAGGTGGTGAAGAGAGAATGAAATTATATTAAACCTACTAACATTGTAAAAAATTTTCATTACTTTGTTTTTGTAACAGCCAAAAGTAGATCAGAAGCTCATACGCTTAAACAATAGGTCATGTCCTCAAAATAAGGTCACTTTTATTTTTTCCCTTTCTTCCCTGTGGTATACTTTCACCAGTTTATATTTGTTGGGAAAAAAAAAAGTCGTATATCATATTCAACACGAGTATCTAAAAGTGTCCTGAAGAAAACAGTAAAAAAAAAAAAAATTATACATAGACTAAATGTCTATCTTTAAGTCAACTAGATATTTTAATATCAACAACTCTCTCAAAAATAGTCTGAAAATTGGCAATATTAGGCAATCAGAACTCATATACAGTATATTTCTACATTAGTAACAAGTCTTCAGTACAGATAGCTAAGAAAGACTTAGCTCTCTGAAATTACCTGAAGAACTGAAATAAAACTCAGCATGAAACTTATACTAAAACAAGTGTTCTGCTGTTGATAACATTGATCAGTGAAAAAAAAAGTAATTATTAAAATCAGCTTAAAATCTGTTCTCTTGAAAAGAAATGTCACATGGTTACTTGATTCTTCTGACAATGAATTAAGCATTGAGCAGCATGAGAGCTTCATTTTGCATTTATATGTGGTAAGTTTTTATATTAATATGAACACTGAGACAAAGAAAAGTTATTAACATTGTTCAGCTTAAAACACAAACCTGAGTATTAGGGCATGACTCCAATTGGTGATTAAGAACCGCAAATGCATAATTAGCATCCCAACACACACAAAAAAAGCTAAGAGCAAGGTGCTAATCAACTTTAACCTGCAAAAGAAGCTATAGCTGCAGGAACCTTTTTGTAGCAAAACCCTAAAACCTCGAAAATAAAGCATAACATTTCCGTTTATCATGAAGATGTTGGCTGGCATTTTCCTTATTTAACTATAATGTTCTAAATTTAGTTATATGAATTTACGTTATTCACCCTTTCATTCCCTTGAGCGAAAAATGAACCTTGAGAAACTTTCATTTCTGAATGAACTGAAAGGCCCTTGGGAAATCTTTATTTCTCTCCAGTAACAAGTAAGGAAACATCAATGACCAGATCAGGACATATCAGGATGTTAAGACTATGCTACCTCAGTAGAAGAATACCCTCTCCATATATTGTTTGACCATCTTGTGTCAGCTTTCACATACTAACTCTGAAATAAAACAAACAAACCTGGGGGAACAAAAAAGGTGTACAATTCATTTGTATCATCCTGTGGCAACATGGAAGGAGAGGGAAGAAGAATATATGGTCAGAGATACACAGAAGAGGCAGATAAAATGACCACTGCTTCAGGCTGGCACCGCGCTACTCAATCAGCTTAGTCTTAACTCCAGGCCAAGTTCTCAGACTATGAGAGCTACTTTTCAGAGGCTTACAGTAAAATAAGAGTGAACTCCTCAAGCTTATAATAAAAAGCATGAAGCAATGGCTGATTATTAACCCAGAAAATGGGTCAAAATAAATACAATCATACAGTACGAAACTAGCACCTTACAGCGCTGCTAGTGGGATGAAGATAAAGGCAAAAAAAGGGTAAAGCTTCAGGTATATTTTTAAATACAAAAAGGCCATCTCAGAGGCTGTAAGGTTATGCAAGACCTACAGGCAACAAGTTAGTTCAAGTTAAAAGACCACTGACAGGAGAAAGAAGTTGACTGTTCAGTCTCTGCAACAGTTAGTATCATGGCTATATGACCCAGAGGTAAGAAATTAAAATAAGTACAGTCAACTCACCATTAAGGTATTTGTATACAAATATTAATGCTTTTTGTGCAGCTTTTTATATTAGCAGTAAATACCAAAGAATTGTGCACTCCTGACTTTTTTTTTTTTAATCAAACTGTAACTCTATTTCCATGACATTTGCAAATAAAGGCTTTTTAAGTTTCCGACTTCCCAAAAGCTAATACATTCTAATCTCACAAAACAGATTTGGAGGCATACACCTCCACCACAACATTTGGCAAAGAAGAAAACACTGAAACAAGAATAAAAACATGATACAAAATAAATTGATACAAATGTCTATTTTTACCTGTACATACGCACATAGTAAATCCCTTCAGAATAGGTATTTCAAAACTGTTCTCTAACGTTTAGAGAACAACAAACAATGTACATAAGATAAACAGAAAACAGTGTTTAATAGAGCTAGCAACAAATTTTAGAAAGAAAATATGCTTCTTTTTTTTTCTGACAGGTCAATTCTTCATTTTCAAACAATACAACTGAAATTTGTACAGGAAGAATGCCACATGATAATACACTTTTATGAAATTTCCTATAGAAACTGAAAGGTGAGATTTTGTTGGTTGCTTAACTATTTTTTTACACATGCAATGAGCACTCTTCGGATGAGTAAGCATTAATTTCTGAGGGATTACATATTTTGTACAGACTATGTAGTTTATATTCTTAATACAACTTGTTATCACATACCCATGTCTCTGCATGAACAGGCCTGATGTTGCTGAGAAGCACCTCTTCATAATTTCCATAATCACAGAATTTAACAACTGCAGTTGTCCCAGAAGAATGGAGAGCTTCAATTTCTGCCCGGTAGAACTTAAAAGAGAAATTTTCAAAGGTCATAAAATACAACTTGAATTACCACAAAGAGCTTACTAGCTACCTTCTTATATACATCTATCCTTAGTGATATATTTTGAATAGCATTTGTACCAGCTATTAAACTTCCCCATGGTAGAATGCACTTAGAAGACTCACTGAGAAAATATGCAGTCTATGCCATTAAACATTCAAGACTTGTTTTCAGTTCTATGAAAGCAAAACAAATTAATCACTAAGAAAAGCTGTTGTATACAGAAGTATTACTGCTATACTTTTTCTTAAAGTACATGTATTAGTAAGTGCCTATCAGCCATATACACTGTATATACTAATAAACACCAATTTTAAAACACAATACGATAAAAATATGATGAAGTTGCTCCTCCAGTAAGTTCTTTTTCTAAACATAAAACTTAAATTTCTTTACATTTATGCAGACACAGATCAGCTTTCCTGAATATATTAAACAACTTTTATCTTATTGAACACACAGAAATCATTGCCTCCTAACGTGGTTAAACTCAATACTCTATTTTACAATCACATTTCAAAATTGTCCTAGGTGTGAGCAACAGCATTTATTGTAACTACAAAAAACCCATAACCCTCACTAAAAACCCTTCTGATGTAATGAGTACTTCTCAGGTAATAGTCTGGGATTACCTCCTATCTACTTAACTTCATACTGTCCAGAATTTTAAAAACTCATCTCACAGTGATGCAAATATGCTTCTCAAAATAGGAAATAATTCCATAATATGCCATTATATTTCACACGAATCCACCCATTCAAGCTACATATTCCTATTTCTGAGAGTCAACTCAGTATATGTTGTCACTACCAAAATGTTTCATGCCTTATCATCTACTTTAGTCATACAAACAAAAGTCAGAAAGTTAAAATCATGCTGCTGAGCTAACACTACTGTAAAAAAATTAAAAAGGAAAAAAAAACCCTTCAAATAAATAACATAAAACAACAACAAAAAATAGACAGAAAATGGTGGTAATAAACCTGATCCAAATAACAACAATATTTTAGGTAGTTGTCATATTATCAGATAAGCATCAAATACTAAAAAACTACCTAATAAGAGAGACAGAACTCCTGAACAGATAATAACAAATCAAACAGCCTAAAACTTTTCTAGCAAGGGAGAAGATCAAAGTGTCTCGCCACAAGAGGAATCTTACTAATAGGAAAACAGCTGAAGAGGAAGTATTAAAACTTCTAAAAACCACTAAAACAAAACTATCAGGCAGCATAACTCATTTGTTCCACAACTTCTTCAGCTAACTGTTGAATAGCAATACTAAAAAAATAAGTCTTTTGCTGTTCCTTCCTGTGATGACTGAAATATAAGAGGGACTTTTTTAAACAGTTCCATTTCTGCAGAATCTGGTCTTCCCTTGCACTAATTAAGGTTGCACACTGACTTATTCTAGAAAAAGTCATTACACGTTACAAACTATTCCAGATATCTCTTGCTTCTTGCAAAAAAAATATGGGCACATAGATCTATACTCATCTCTTTAAATTTTCAGCACTTAAGTCTTCAGTTAGGAGCCAACTGATCCTGAACTCCATCTAAATCTGAGAAACAATCACCCTCAAGATGACGCAAGTGCTTTAAGTTTCACACGAATACAAGCAACAAACAATACAAAAACAGAACAAGAAGTCAGCCAAGAAGCACAATACACACCTACGAACAGAGACCTGGGTTTCTGTGCTACTGTGCTAACCCTTGCACATGTAAGTAACGAAACAGTAAAGGTACAATTTGAGGTACCTACCTTGTTGTCTTCCCAATAAAGAGCAAAACACTCATCCCCTGGTCTCCAGTTTCTTCCATATTCCATGTGAATTGAAGATTCTAATATTTTCTCTGGTTTGATGGGCCCAGATCTCCTTTTGGGACCGGTGTTGTAATACAACATTTTATCATCAAAAGAGGGGACTGCAGTGGGTCCTGATGATTTGATAGGTCCTACTCGTCTTCCTTTCTGATGATGCTCAATATCTCCATTTGGTACAGCATTAAAATTATCAGTTCTACCAGGATTTTGGTAATCATTGTTGACACCAAAATGTTGTTCACTTTTTACCATAAAGCCTTCATTACTTATTGTTCGTGCCTTCCTATCACAAAAATTTTCAGAATTGTGTATTTGGGTTTCCCTTTTCCCACGTTTCTGGTTATTGTGGTCTGTAGTATCTTGAGCAGCAGAGTTCTCCTGGAAGTCTGTGAAAGACACACCTTTTCCTATTCTGTTTTGCATATTGTTATCCCTTTTTTTGAAAGCAATATCACTCTGGTGAGTGGCTACGGGATAACCCGAATCCTTTGGCCTATCATTTCTAGGATAATGTCTGTCACTTTTTTTTTTTTCATCTGTCCAATGTTCTAGGGAACTGTGCTTTTCAGAACCTCTGTTTCTTGGTAACCCACCACTTTCTGAAGCCTGCCTAGAATTTTGAATATCCCTTTGAAAACGAGGAGGCTTCTCATTCCTTGGTTGTCTCATGTGAGAGATGTGTCTTGAATGATTCTCTCTGATGCCATTCTGTTCTGTATTCATAACTTTGTGCTGCACTTGATGCGGTGGCTGAAATTGCAATTTTGGTTCTACAAAGAAAAAAATTACTTGAATTATTAACGTATTTCAGACAAGGATACTTTAGAAATAGTGTTTAGATTCTAACTGAAAAAAGTAATACTATTATTGAGAAAAGTATGCAGCTGTTACTTCTGTAATAAAGACATGAAACAGTACACAGAAAATTTAGCAGAGACATTTGAACTGTAATTTCTAGTTATCAGAAAACATACACTATTCTGGGCTGTACTTAGAACTAAACCACCTACCAGTATGAGAAAAGCCAGGCATAAATTTCCAGAATGTTACTCATTTCTCCCTATGGACATCAATAACTCAACAGCCATTTAAGATACAAGAACAGAATTCTAACATGGGAAAAGGAAGAGGAAGAAAAATTAGGAGAAAAAATGAATACTTTTAATCAGAATTGAAACTTTCTGTAAAAATAACTTGTTAACAACTATTCAGCATGTAAGACAAAGGCAAGAAATAGAAGTGATAAAATGAACACAGCTGACAAACTGTAGGATAACAGGAATAGTAAGTCCAGAACTCTGGAGACCCTGATCAATAAGCCATAACAGGAAACAGTCAGGCATTACCTTAAAGAAATACAAGAACTCTGACTGATAAGAAGAAAAACATTATCAGGCATCTCATGAGAAAGAGCAAACTTGCTATGGGATGCTTTGGAGGAGTGAAATTGTAGGGATCTGTGAAACCTTTTATAGAATTCTATTTCTTTTTAGGCAAACAGAATTTTCATATCAGATGTTGAGGTGAAGAGTCAATTGAGGTGAAAGATTAAGATGAATCCAGGAGGAATAAGCATGAGAATATAACGAAGAAATGAGATTAAAGAGGACAGTTGCAAATATGCAGGCTCCTGCTCAACACACTTGCTGGGCCAACTCCTGCAAATGATCACCATAGCTTGTCTCATCTCATTAAATTCTGTTTCTAAAAAATCTTCTGTGATTAAGTTCTCTATAGTGTGTGTATGAGTGAGACATGTTTCTTAACCAGTTAGCAAATTTGAGATAGGATAAGCTGCTAAGTGAGACAAGAAAGACCTGGCAGCTGAATACCAGCAAGACCATGAGTCTGAGAGACCATCTACGAGGGAGACCACAGGTCTGGGCTCAGACATTGGACAGACATACGTAAGTGCACAAGTGTAACCCTCCTGCAAACTTCAGATTGTACTAGTCAGCTAGTCAACTAGTACTTTTTTAATAGAAAAAGCTAAGCAATGAGGTATTTTATTCACAGATTGTCTATTGTAGCTTCTGTTTCTTGCTTCTACATCTTCTTGCCCCACCTCCAACAAACCACTAGCTAATCTTCCCAGAAAACTAACAGTTCCTACAGGGTAGCAATAAACAAATACTAATTTGGTATTTAACAGGAAGATTTGGTATGCTATTCTGTCAAATTCAGCGAGATGCATAAGCCCAGACATCTTTATTGTAACCAAACACTTGAGAATTGGGTGAAAGACTAGATTAGGCATATTAATATTCTGCTAGTTGGCAGGATAGACTTAGCATTTAAATGTTTCCTCTTGAGGTCTCTTCAGCATTAATGACAAGGCTTCTGTCATGTGCTAGATAATTAAGATGACAACTAGTGTTTCTCAGTTTGAAACTGTCAGTTACTTTACTCATTTCAGCATTTGTATGTGATGATTTAAGAAGAGCATACAGAACCAATAACAATCCCCTGCTTACAAGAAACCAGCAGGAGCTGTTGCAGTTGGAAATCCAGCCACCAGTTTAAAAAAAACATTCCTCCATGCACAATGAAACATAAGCAGTACAGTTTCCTGTGGCTCTCCCTTGTGGATTTTATCATGTTAAATAATGTGATTAAACTGAAAGACAGTGGCCCTTCTCACACTGGTGGCAGTGATTTGGCTTTGTCCTTCCAACTTGTATTTTGTATTGTATTGAATTGTATTTTTATGAAACTTTTTTCCATTCCCTGGAATGGACTGCCCAGGAAAGTGGTGGAGTCACTATCCCTGGATATGTTTACGGAAAGACCAGATGTGGCACTTAGTGCCATGGTCTAGCCAATGTGGTTGTGATAGGTCACAGGTTGGACTTGATGATCTCAGAGGTCTTTTCATAGAATCACAGAATCGTAGAACTATTCAGGTTGGAAAAGACCCTTGGGATCACCAAGTCCAACCATCATCCCTCCTCTACAAAGTTCTCCCCTAAACCATATGCACTAACACCACATCCACCACATCCAGCCTCAATAATTCTGTTATTCTGTGAAAAGCAAGTATTTGAGACAACTACCCACAGGGCATGTTCTGTCTCGCATTGGCCGCAAGACTAAAAAAACAAGAAGAAAATGAATTATACATTTTCACACACTTTGTGTAATAGAGCAGAATTCCACTTACTCAAGACCTGTGTCAATTTATATAAATATCAATATTGTTCTTTCTAAAATGTAGTAACACTGAGAAACTGGAATCTGAGTTCATGTTTCTGATTAAATAAAATAAAATACAAGCTGAGGAGATACTGATAGTAATGAAGTGGCAAAAAAAGTCCCCAAACACTGCCATTGCATTCACTACAGATTTGATTTTTCAGGATTAAAGGATTGAAAAAAAAATACAAGTTTATTACTCTTTAAACACATTAATTTTACTGTATTTCTTTTCTCATGTATTTAAAAAGAAGTTCCTGAGACAATAGAAATACTAAAGTTTCCAACATATGCCAACAATGCTAACACAATAGTACAACAAAAATGAGTTTAGACAAGATGTACTAGCCCCATATTGTCGAAACTGTATGTTACCATATTATAAAATAAAACAAAAACCAAATCACCCATCACATAACCTGGCTTACCTCAGGCATAAACAGTTTAGTAGAAGGACAGAAATTCAATTCTGAAAGCACAGAAATTTCCTGTCCCTTTTGAGATCTCTGGGTCCGAGTCCCTAGGAATTTGTATGTGTGTACTGCTTACAATAAATGCTCACTCTGCAGTAAAGTCCTATTTCTTCTGAGGGACATTCAGGTGAATCATGAATATGAGAGAGTAAGACCTCTGTGAACAGCGACTGGTTGCAAAGCCCCCTCCTACATGGTCAGTGCCTCTTTTGTCACTCATCTCCTTCAGACAACAGTGGTGGAGAACATAAAATCTACTGCAGCTAAATTAGGTGTGATGTTTAAGATGCAGTGTGAGCAGAGACAAGAGTTCAAATGATTGTGATGCTATACAGCATCATTCAAACCACTACAAGAGTATGGTCGGTAGTTATGGAATGTATAATCGAAGAGGAAAACTGAAAAATTAAGTTTGTTGAGAAAGGAGATAAAGCAGTCCAGAAAAAAAGCTGGAAAAACAAGAGGATAGAGAAGCTCAACACACACAGCTGATGGATAAAATACAAGTCAACAGCTACTAGGACTGCAAATTTCAATAGCTCTCTATACGGCATGAAAGGAATAACGTAATACAGCAGTTAGAATTTTTAATTTTAAGTGCTCGTCTTTAATTGCTGAAACAATTACCTTTCACAGTTTGACTCAGGTCCGACAACAATGCTCTCGATCCCCCCTCCCCCCAACCCAGGTCGGGAAGGAGAGAGAGAAAAAGAGAGAGACTTGGCTGGATTGAAAACTAAACAACACAGCTTTAATTAAAACACTAATGAATGATACAAGAAAATATATACAATTATGTACAGATATATTCAGGTGTGGGCAAAAGCCTCTCGCCTCCCCCCACCCCAGCAACTCCCACAGCACTTCCCTGAACTGGGAAGAGTCCCGAGGAATCCCGAAGCTGCTGCTGGAGAAAGCAGAGAGTTATGGGGGTCACGAGAGATCAAGCCTGAGGATCGACGGTGATGGATGAACAGAGTCCTCCCTGGACGCCGGCCATGGACAGAAGAGAAGGGGAGAAGAAGAGAAGGAAGGAAGTTGTCTTCTGTGATCTCTGACCTTCCTCTGAGCTTACGTAGATATATGGAATGGAATATCTTTGGCCAATTTTGCTGTCCATCTAACTCAGCCTCCTACGGGGGGGTCACAGATCTCCCCATAGTGTCTGAGCCGGCAGAGTGCAGGTGC